TCTTCTTTAAAAATATATTTCTAAAATTATTGCTGGAAGCTAAGACTTCGCTGTTGAGCAAAGAAGTTTGTTGCAATGGTGTTGCAATGCTGGAATCCAAAGTATCTACATTAATACTGGAACTACTCGGCCAAGTTATTGCAGTCGATGGTTTTCTATCGTGTATACTCTTGCTATGTTCCTTTCGCAGTCCAGACTGTCCAGTGAGTTTCAGGAATTCTTGCAGTTTTTTGAATCGTTCATCTGTTTCCAGATCTCCAAATTTAATCTACGAAAGCATTAAAATATAGTTCGTAGGCTCATAAGTAAACAATTAGAATTGTTATAACTTTTATATTAACAAAAACATACATTCATAATAATTAACCATTGGAAGATATCACAAGCACACAAGTCGACAGAAGCGTCTATCCCTATTGACATTCAGAGAGTGACAAAGATAGACTGACACTGGTCGACTTGTGTCCATCAAATGGAAAGCACCTATTAGTCCTTGATTATATTCTTTATTGAGGGCATAAATTTGTAAGTAAAAATTCCACTTTTCGAAGAAAAACTAGAAGTAGAAAGAAGAAATTACAATAGTTATGACAATGCAATAGTTTTGTTTTGGTTCGCAGAGTAAAGAGAATAGGCGCCAATTAGCCGGAAGTCGCCATTTCCAACAAATATTTATAACGCAATTCCTCGTCTTAACCTTTTCTTTTTCTAATGTCGTCTTCTTCTAACAGTTAAGCTATAAATGGCGGAGCCAATCAGCATTAGGCACACGCATTGGCGCTACTCTTTTTACCTAAGGTTTGTCGCGTCGCATGCTCCAACATAGTCCAATATGCTCCTATCATAGCTCCTACTCACTCCAATGCATTCATAAGGCGTCGTCTACAATACACGGAGTAAGAAGTAAGAGTAAGAAATTGACCAATCACAGTCGATTATTCTTCTCACATTCGACTGATTGGTCAATTTCTTACTCTTACTTCTTACTCCGTGTATTGTAGACGGGCCTTTAGAGTGAATAGGAACTATTATCCCGGATCTACAATAGGGTTTTAAGCCTTAAGCCATAAGAAATGGGCGAATCACAGTCGCTTATTCTTCTCGGATTCGACTGTAATTGGTCAGTTTCTTACGGCATAAGGCATAAAACACCTATTGTAGATCCGGACTTAGCACTATTAGCAGTAGCATGTTGGAGGATGCGACGCGACAACCTCTATACTCTATTGGTTCGTAAACTTAAACTTTCTGTAGACTGTAACCTTTTAATGACAATTTTACTAGCCCGGAATGTCGTTACGCAGATATTTTATACGTAAAAAAGTAGCGCAACGACAATATAACGATATCAAACTGTCGTTAGTTACAGCATCGACTTATTGTGCCTCCTTTCCAATTAACGTCAGTTAATGTTGACATTGGGTGTATTCAGCGTACTCAACAGTTGAGTGAGCGCTCACTGTTATTGGTGTATTCTTCTAAATCTAAAATTCTGATTGGATGAGCTAAAAGAATACACCAATAACAGCGAGCGCTCACTCAACTATTGAGTCCGCTGAATGCGCCCATTGTTGACTGATGTTAACTTTGGCAAACTGGAAATACTGATACAGTACTGGAATTCTGTAACTCATTATATTTTTAACGATACGGAACGGTATGATAACGATACCGACATTTGTCGGATGTAACGAAAAATCATACCGACTACGCGATTCCATAACTCACGATAACGATGCTTTGACGCTACAAAACGTGATAACGAAAAATCGTTACTTAACATTGTCGTTATGCATCTAAACCAATGAGAAGTCACGTATAGTCTTATGACGACGCGACGCGTGATGGAAACGTACCCTTTCTGTTTACTGCTTCATTCAATATTTTTCATATTTTTCATTCAATATTTTTTTCTGTATCAAGTGTATGATGTAAACTAGGTCTATATCTGAAGTATTAGTTATTATATTCCTAGACTACAAAAAGTATTATTTGTTTAGTATATTATATATTGCCCAATGTTTTATTTGTATGTTACTGACAATAAAATGTTAATATCACTATTAAACTTATTGTTATTATTTAGAAAAAACATTTATTTATTAAATAAAACTTAAATTTTGGTATATTTGACTACTTTATTTAAGTAACACACTTGAAGCATATGATTTTGACAAGATAGTAAAAAAATTATAGTATAAAATAATTAAAAAATACTTAATTAATAATAGTAATTAATAATAATAATAATAGTACTTAATAATAGTAACGTATAATAGTAACGTATAGTATAATAATAGTATAATAATAGTACTTAATAATAGTACTTAATAATAGTACTTAATTAATAATAGTACTTAATTAATAATTAAGTACTCTAAAGCCATATTCACTGCAAATTACAAAGAGTTTCTATTTAAGCATATGAAAGAATGTCAACTATGCCACAAACAATAATCCCAGCTGAAAAACATAATATTGAAAGAAATGAGTTAGCACAGACTCTTGTATAACACATAATATATAAATCAATCAAGAATTTCAACCAATCAAAATTCTTTATTTCATGGAAAGAAAGGAAAGGAAGGACTTTGATTGATATATTCCTATGCATTACGTGTTATGCGTTATGCAAAAATCTGTGCCCTCCGTTTTAATTTCATCTCAACAAGACATCATGTATGTATTCAATAGGTTATAAAACATTGAGATATGTGATATAGTTATACCTCAACTCTGCGGAAGAAAAAGGAATTTAATATAAACTTCTACTTACCGATTGCCTTGAGTGGCACAATTACGTTCAAATGTATTGTGTGGCTTTTTATGAACTAATTATTTATAATTAGCTAGTCGATTACGACAGTTATGCTGTCGTTACGCGATAGCGAGGGGTAATGGACCCCTCGTTATGATAACGACAACTTACCGATGTTTTTCGATATTAATAGCGACAAAACTTGTTAAAACTCACTTACAGAATCGCATTTGTCGTTACAACAACATTTCGTTACGTAAACTATCGTTATGAGCACGTAACGACTGCATAACGAGATACAGAATCCCGCTACAGTGTGTTTTGTGTCCAAAGCTGAGAAAAATAATAAATTACAGATTTCTATAGGGGTTGCACCCAGTTGGACACGGCTCAATTGAACACGAGCCACTCACAGCGCTTGAGACTACAAAGCTCCTAGGCACCTGGTCGCTGTGATTGGTGGTGTCCAATCGAGCCGTGATCAATCGGGATCACCCCTTTCTGTAGCACAGTGCAATCAGCTCACCACAAACATTTACTTCGTGAAAAAATTATGTGCACGTTATATGCTCGAAATTAGGGCAGGAGCATATGTAGAATAAAAAGACGAATACAGTCATATCTTTAGAATTGAGTTTTGATCCCTAAATAAAAAGATAATTGCATTCTACGAAATTGTGTGTCTAGCGCTTGAGAAATCGACGATATACAGACAGTTTAGACTGTTTAGTCATAAAACCGAGCAGTATTTTAGTTGATCTCTTTCTAAGAGATGGCG